TTTGGAAGAATTTGAATTGTTCAAATTACTTAAGGGATTATATGTATATTGATACATTATAATATATAGTTAATTATAAATTAAAACTATATTATTAGAGAAATTATTTGAATGAGATTCAAATAAAATAAATATGAATAAGATTCATATTAAAACTATAGGTTAAAAATAATGTGTATAAGATGTACATTAGAACTATAGGTTATACGAGAGAAATGTTTTAGAATATGATTCTATTCATGTGATAAATAATTAAAGGTTAATTATTTATTTGATATATATATATATATATATTAATTAATTATTAATTAGATTAATAATTAATTAATTATTAATTAATATGATTAATTAATTAATTTTATATTAATTATTATATATATATTGTATATATATTAATTATTAATATTAATATTAATATTTAACTCCCCTGCAAAGTGGGGGTGTTTTGTGACGTGGGGTAACTCCCCACGTCACTGGTTTTCTGCAAAAGTCTGCAATTGTTACCGAACGAAAATACAGAAACAGAATAGAACTCCCACTCTCTCTTTCTCAAGCTCTCAATCAAACTTTCCCTCTCGTTCCAAAGAAACGCTCCCACAAGCGTGTTCTCGAAACCCAAGAGGATAGCAAGGAAGGTCGTTTGGTGGTGTTCGTTGGTAAATCGTTGAAGAAACGTTCTTCAAAGGTAATGGTTTTTCCTCTGTATTTTCATCTTTAACGGTTTTGATTTTGTTTCCCAAATGTCACGAACAACGGTTCGCTTCCGCTCTGAGATTCACATCCCTTCAGTGGTCACATGAGGACATACCAGGAATCGATCGAAGAGACATGGTACATCGATTCAACGTTGACGAGACCTGTAAGCCAGTGAAACAGAAGCGTCGCGCGTTCAACCAAAAAAGGAATGAGATTGTAGCTGAACAGGTGAAAAAGCTACTGAAAGCAAGCTTCATTCGGGAAGTACATTATCCCCAGTGGATATCCAACGTAGTGCTGGTAAAGAAGCCGAAAGGCAAATGGAGAATGTGCATCGACTTTACAAACTTAAATAAGGTCTGTCCAAAGGATTCTTTTCCTTTGCCTTAAATAGATCAACCGGTTGATGTCACTGCAGGGCATGAAAGATTGAGTTTCATGGATGCCTACTCCGGATATAATCAAAGCAAGATGCATATACCGGATCAAGAGAAAACCTTTTTTATCACAAGTCGAGGTTTATACTGCTACACGGTGATGCCGTTCGGATTGAAGAATGCAGGTGCGACCTACCAACGAATGGTGAATCGAATGTTTGCAACCTTAATCGGCAAAAATATGGAAGTCTACATAGACGATATGCTGGTAAAGAGTCGAAAGAACAAGCGACACGAGGAGGATTTGGCAGAAGCATTCGACGTTTTGCGAAAATACAAGATGAAGTTGAATCCTACCAAATGCAGGTTTGGAGTGACCTCGGGCAAGTTCCTGGGATTTTTAGTACACCAAAGGGGAATCAAAGCCAATCCAGATAAGATCAAAGCTGTTCTGGAGATGGATCCGCCCAGAACTCTGAAGCAACTACAGGGACTCAACTGAAGGATAGCAGCACTTAACATATTTGTTAGCCATTCAACTGACAAGTGCCTGCCGTTCTTCAAAATCCTGAGGAAAAAAGGACAATTTGAATGGACAGAAGAGTGTGAGACTACCTATAAGGATCTGAAGCAGTACTTGGGGGCAGCCCCACTCCTCTTAAAGCCAATCATAGGTGATGAACTCTACTTATACTTAGTTGTATCCGACACTGCAGTAAGTTCCGCCTTGATAAAGGAAGAAGATGGGCGACAGTCTCCAATCTACTACACAAGCAAAGCAATGGTAGATGCCGAGCTTAGATACCTACGATTGGAGAAATTGGCGTTAGCACTGGTCACTTCGGCTCGGAGACTACGTCCGTATTTCCAAGCTCACAAAATAACCGTCCTCACCAACTTTCCCTTGCGACAGATTTTGCAAAGGCCAGACACTTCTGGACGACTGGTAAAGTGGGTTGTGGAGCTTAGCGAGTACGACACTCAGTACAAACCAAAAACTGCCATGAAAGGGCAGGCTGTGGCAGACTTCATAGCAGAATTAACCCCAACAGAACCTTAAGTATATAATATCAACCCACAATTGGTCAAGGAAGAGCAACCTGGACACTCTGCGTAGATGGGTCCTCAAATTTTTGAGGATGCGGGGCAGGACTTCAACTAGTCTCTCCAGATAGAGAGTGATTCGAATATGCACTGCGATTCAGTTTTCATGCATCCAACAACAAAGCCGAGTATGAAGCTTTGCTAGCAGGACTAAAGGTGGCCAGGTACGTTGGAGTCAGGAACATACTGATACTCTGCGATTCACAACTGATTGTAAGTCAGGTGAAAGAGGAGTTCCAAGCTAGAGAACCGCAAATGGTGAAATACCTTTCTCAAGTAAAAAACCAGCTTGACCAGTTCTCAAAATATGAAATTCAACAAATTCCACGTGCTCAAAATGTCAATGTCGATGCGTTGGCTCGACTGACTGCAGCTTATGAAATCGACCTAGGAAGAACTGTACCGGTCGAGATTCTACTCGAGCCAAGCATCGAAGCTTAGGAAGCAATGGATATCGACGAACAAGGGCAACCAGGAGAAAACTGCATGAGCCCTTTGATTAAGTATTTGAGAGACGAAATCATGCCTACTGAAAAGAAAGAGGTCCAGCAGCTACAACGACGAGCAGCTGAATATGTACTTAAAGACGACAATCTATACAAAAGAGACTACTCATTGCCGCTTTTAAAATGTCTAACGTCTGACGAAGCTGACTACGTCATGAGAGAGATACATGAGGGCGTTTGCGGGAGCCATTCTGGAGCATAATCCATAAGTCACAAAATAGTTCGACAAGGGTACTACTAGCCGACCATGCTGAACGACACGAAGCAATTCACCAAAAAATGCGACAAATGCCAATGGTTTGCAACAGTACCTAGGCAACCGCCAGAGCCTCTAACGAGCATAATGAGTCCTTAGCCCTTTGCTCAGTGGGGAATAGACCTTATAGGTCATCCCCCACTAGGATAGGGCCAGACCAAATTTGCAGTGGTGACAATCGACTATTTTACTAAATGGACGGAAGCCAAAGCCCTAGCTACAATTACTGAGAAAAATGTCACCGGCTTTATCTGGAAGAACATAATTTGCCGCTTTGGAATACCCTACACCATTATCAGTGATAATGGGAAGCAATTCGACAATGCTGCCTTTCGAGAATTTTGCAGGGAGTTGGGCATTAAGCACATCTGTTCCTTACCAGCACATCTCCACAAGCTAATGGGTAGGTTGAAGCAGTCAACAAAATCATCAAGAGAACTCTGAAAACCAGATTAGAAAAGCTCAAAGGGTTGTGGGCAGAGGAACTTCCCAATGCATTATGGGCCTACAGAACAACATCTTGTACTTCGACGAAAGAAACGCCGTTTTCACTATCATTTGGCTCTAAAGCAATGGTGCCAGTGGAAATTGGTCTCCCTTCCCCAAGGGTGGAGCAGATCAGACTACCCAACAACAATGAGTCCGTGCAGCTCAGCCTCGACCTATTAGAAGAACATCGAGAAACAGCACGACTACGAACGGCTGAGTACAAAAATCGTATAGCTCGATACTACAACTCGAAGGTTAAGAAGCGTGACTTTAAGGAAGGTGATTTAGTGCTAAGAAAGATTATGCCTAATACCAAAGATTCAACTAGCGGGGCATTCAGGCCAACATGGGAGGGCCCATACAAAGTCACTAAAGTGGTTCGAACAGGCACTTATGCTCTAGAAGACCAACAGGGGAAGGCTTTACTACACCCATGGCATGCTCAGCACCTCAAAAGATACTACCACTAGTTCGACATATTTCTAGACATTTTTATGTTTTTCCATTATTTGGACCAACTAAGGTCATTGTAACTAAATCTTCGACAGGACGATCTTCCTACTAAAAAAGTCTTCGACATTCGACGTAATACTTGAGTTTTTATGTTCATGCTGAAATAAATGTCTCAAGCAGGGGGCATCATATATCTACATATCTACGACCAATCAAGAAACTCGAAATTGAGACACACCTAGAAGCAAGCCAAACAGGCAAAAAGCCAGTAACGACTCAGCATGGTCAAAACTAAAGCAGAAAAATACAGGATATAAAACTGTTTGGCATAAAAAGCCAGGCAAG